CAAAGAAGTATAAGGTTTGCATTTTTCAGAATAAAAGGGAGTACAATGGATGTTGATTATGTCTGTTACCACTAAAATCTAGGTTATGCATAAGACATCCTCGTAGTGCCACGGTTCTGTTGGGAAAATTGTGGACATCGTCCGAAGTGAATATCGACATTTCAAGTTGGGTGTGAATAAATTTCAATTAAGAAGGCGGTATTCGGCTCTGGCTGGCCTAAAAGAACACCTCGGTGTTTGCATTACGTATGACCATTGCAGCCAGAATCTCCATCGTGAGGTGAGGGCCTAAGCATCCTGTCATTTGGCAGGTTACCCTAATAAGTTTATAAGCGCATCTTTATGGATTTAACGTGTATCGTCATTTTTATTTAGGAGGAAGAAATGAGAATTTGCCTCACTTCCTCTTTTCACGTCCACGCGCCAGTCCTACAGACGATACTGAGAGATAATGAAAGACTTCTCGCGTCACAACCAGGATATTTCCTCAAAAAAATACCAGGTTTCATAAAAAGGGTATGTGTTTCTTCGATCTTACTTGAATGGGAGTTTAAGAGAGGTTGCACTCGTAAGAGGGCAACGGGCACGTCTCTCAATTAATCGGGAGGTGCAATTCCGTGCGTTAGGGGAGTGACAATAAATGCTTAATTTTGTATCATACATACTAGTGGGGAGGTATGAAGGATTCGTGTTGATGGACGATTTTTCGTTCAAGGTTTCCACGAAGGCGTGTGTAGCCCAAAAAGACGGTAGTGCTATTTCTTTTCGCGCCACGATTTTGTTTTTCGAGACCCGGTTTGGATGCAGTGACCGACATGTCGGCGGGATGCTGTATAAGTGTGCTATGCACAAATTCCTCAAGCTCCATTTGGACCCAATTATCATGCATCCGCACGTGAACGTCTCTCTGATAATGAAGGTAGATTTAATAACAGTATATAGGCTACTTGTGAGAACTTTGTGAAAGAAGACGGAAATATGATGACTTACCACAACTATGCATGGTCAGAGTAGTCTGGGACTGAACGACCGTGGACGGTAGCTGCTGCGGCGGTATGTTCTTTTCTGTACCACACATTTATCTGAGTAAGTGGAGTGATATTTCAAAAGGCTCATCAGACCTATTCGTAGTGAAGACCGCCAAAGGAAAAAGAGACGGTTGGGATAGAATACACAATGTCGGCCAAGGAGATGATTGATGCTGCGCCTGTGCTACAGAACATCTGAATTGTATAAAGAAGTCATCGAATTCGTGGTTTTCATCCTAATGTACGTATCGGAGATATTAGTGATAAGCGGTTGACTAGTTGTTTTGGTAGCCGAAGTGATACAAGGTAAATAAATAAACAATTTATTTTAGGCCCGGAGGGGCTCGTCAATGCAAACTTAGTGCTGTGGAAAAATAAATACAAAGTTGATAAATGCTGCTATTCGCGAGCAAACACATTGGCAGTGGGAGCGTGCAGTACGGTAGGCAGATAAATTCATATCCACCAACATATTGTTATTTTAAAATAATAGTATACACTATCTGAAATGTATGGTGAATTAAAGAGGAAGCAGTGGAAAACAGCTCCT